ATTAGATCGTTTATTTTTTAAGTCGCTGAAGTTACATTATTACAATGCTTGCAATTCAGTTGTTAAAATGAATCCCACAAAGAAGATTAATCGCTTGCAGTTCAGCAAATTATTAAATTATGCTTGGATAAAAGCTGCCTCAGTACAAAATGCCGTATCTGGTTGTCGCACATGTGGTATTTATCCAGTCGACCGTAATGCAATTCCAGAGTACGTCGTTTTTGAGAGTTCAACAACACAAATTATTTAAATAGATGATCTCCAACGTCTAAACCTACCATCTACAAGCAGTTCGACGCCGTCTCAAACGTTACCATCTCACACGTCACCATAAGAACTACCATCTATACCTAGTAATAAGCCGACCTGTAAAGAAAAATTCACTCCCGATAAAATTTTAGATAATATCTCTCGAGTACCTTCTACATCAGGTATTTCACAAGTAAGGAAACGCGGTAGTTTCAAAGTCAAGAAACTCAAGAACCAAAAGAAGATGTTTTGTGACTTATATTCTTCCAAAGACTCTGGCGATCATATGGAAATTACTCATGAGACTAGTGATGATCTACAAGATAAAAAAAATTGTGAATGCGCCGGCGGTGGGGAAAGATATTCAATCATATCGAAACAAGAAGACTGGGTACAGTGCGTGCATTGAAATTCCTGGTTTTATGAAAACTGCTCAAAATATGATAATTTATGTGATATGTATAACAGTATTGACAAAAAAACGTGCCAAATAAAGTTTATGATCGAGCTATATCACTCTTAGTGTCCAAGTCATCTCACCCTGACATATCGAGTGGACATGGTCTTTTACAATTTTTTTGTATTTTGATGTTTACTGTTTTTGTATGTAAGTATTTGGCTTAATTAACTCTGTACACTTTCTTCTAATGGTATTTTAATATAAACATATAAATATTTCAAAACGTAGACTTTTTGTACTAAGATACAGACAGTCAAAAAAATGTTAGCACTCTCTCCCGGACTTACCCTAGATCATTTTCATATCCGTCAATATCCAAGCACTATAAACAAAAACGACAATCTCCAAACTTAAATATTAAAAAAAAAAGGAAAAGAAATAATTTCTTACGCTTTTTTTTCTGGACATCCGATCACAAACCAAATTTTATATTATTTTTTATTAGTTTTATTGTTTTAATTTAATTTTCTTTCCAAAGTATGGAAATGGAAGATTAAATAAAGAGATGACTAATTTTAACATTAAGTCCTTTAATATATCGTTAATATAAACGAATAGCCCTAATAGACATAATTATTATTTTTTACCAAATACTAAAAAATAAGACCCTCATTATATTGGAAATTTAAAACACCGAAAAATCAACAAAAACTTTCTAATGAGATTAAATTGGAAAATAGTAAATTTATACGAACTTTTACCATATACACAATACTAGTTTTAAATGAATTTAAAAAGTTTCAAAACAAAATGTATGATGGTAGAACCAAACTGTGCAAAATTATTATAGTGTTGACAGTATACTTTATAAAAAGTGTATACACAAGAGCACGTAGACTAAACTTTTATATAATGAGTTTTATTTTAAAACTGCAATATTAGCATATGTGGCAAAAACGGGAAAGTGTTTAATAAGGTCATTTAAACGCATAGAAACTGTAGAAAATGCATGTAGCTGGGTTATGAGATAATAAGAAGTAGGGACAACACAACGTGTGAACTGTCGAGAAGATGGTAATGTGGTCAACATAGGAAGGGTTTAGAATAAAAGTGTCTTTTAAGTGTCACTTTTTATCATTTATGAGTTAGTAATGCTATAAAATACATCAACTAGGTAACATTTCAATTTAATAATGACTTAAGTTCTAGTTCTGATAATATCCGCTAGGCAGCAGCAAGTTCTGGTGTTTAGTGACAGATTATTATTTTCTTTTAGAGTACTGTTGAACCAAGTTTAGGTAGTGTTTATATGTATGTATAGTGTGTGTAAGGAAGAGGCTTGTACCTTGGGCCAGCTTTTACTATGAGCCACCCCATATTTTTTATTTTTACGTACGAACTCCCTCTATTTCTAATGTCAAGCTCTTCTACAATCATCGTCATTCTGTGGTTAATTTTTGAACGTCACCAGAAATCATTTGCGGTTTTCTTAAAAATTAAGTAAATTAGTTTGTTACAAATACGTATTTATAGGGTAGATCAATTTCTTTTTTAATTTTTGTGTTAACAGATATGGTAAATTAAATCACAGAGTGTGTATACTTATTTTAATAGGTACTTAAACAACATAGTGAGAAATCTAACACAGTTTTTAACTAAATCTAACGGTTTTTTAGGTTAAATTCATATTCGTTTTCTTTTCGGCCGAGTCTTCTACCTTGGACCACTCTCACGTCTTGTACGTTGGGTCGTGGCTCAAGGTACAATCTCTTGTAGGTGGATAAACAAACAGAGGTACAGACAGTTCTTTTTTCTTCACAGATGCCTAGAAGCAGAACGGGCGTAAATGGAGCTCCGACAGATCATGAAAACTTATTAAAAACATACAATGCAATTCAATAAAAGTAAATATCAGTCCGATTAGCTGCAAAGAAATTCCATGTGTCACGGACGACAGATACTGTACGCAAGAGAGATACCTCCAGGAATAATCAAAACGATCAAAAATATCTACCAGAACAATACAATTAAAGTAAAAGTAAAAGAAGAACTAACCGAACCTATTGAAGCTGGCAATAGAATAGGACAGGGGAATTCCCTGAGTCCTCTAGTGTACAACCTGATTTTGGATGAAATAATAAAAAAGTAAGAACTAAAAAAGGATACCAAATGAAAGAAAAACAACTTAAAATAATCTGCTATACAGACGATGCCATACTACTCTCTTAAAGTGAAGATGATTGACAACTTATGCTGCACCAATTTAATATAACCGCCAGACAATTTAACATGTTAATTTCCCCAACGAAGACAAAATGCATGGTTACAACAGCAAATTTACTAAGATGTAAATTGGAGCTAGAAGGTCAGATAAAATAGAAGAAGTGATGGAATTTAAATATTTAGGCATCACATTATCTAGCTTCAGAAAGCTCAAAACTGAAGTTTAATATCAAATGAATAGAGCAAAAAAGCCGCAGACTGCCTAAATGAAACAATACGAAGAAATAAAAATATCGGGAAAGAAATGAAATGCAGAATTTACTAAACAGTCATCAGACCAATAACGACATAAGCGACAGAAACAAGACCTGATACAGAGAAATCAAATAGGATGCTCGAAACAGCAGAGATGAAAATACTTAAAAAAATTGATGATGAGACACTCTGGTACAGAGCTAGAAGTACAGATATACGACGTAGATGCAACGCGGAGAACATTAAGAACTTAGTTAATGCTTGTATAAGCCGAATGACAACAAATAGAGTAGTAAAGACGGCAAGAGACTATTTCCCAATAGGAAGACGATCAGTAGAAAGACCATGAAACCGATGAAATAATGGCAGCAACTATGACAAGTTATTTAAAAAAAAAACTGTACTGAAACTAACGAGAAAAAGACAGCTGAATTATTGGCAAAAAGAGAACTGCGCTTAAGGTGAGCAGTGTACGAAAAGGGTGTACATATGTGGGAAATTATTAATATAATTTCCGTGTATGTGGACTGTATTATATAGGGCTGGTTCAATAAAATTAGGATAAGTAATAAAAGGTATATAGACAATAGCAAATTAAGTTTATAGAAAGTCTTACCAATATTTTTTCTGCTCCACACTCTCACGGTTGTTTCTGGTCTTCACTCGTGGTTATTCTTCACTCGCGAAATCTGTCCGATGCACCGGTTTCTGAACCCGTGTTTCGCTAATATATAACGATATAGAGCACCCTTTGTCTGCACACGATTTTATACAGTATTTTCTATATTTCTCGCGTAACTAAAGCGGGAAAGAGGTAATTACGATAGAAAAACAGCCAAGATAGATGCTGTTCTTCTTGATAAGCGAAGAGAGGGAGAGATCAAGAGAGAGAACGTCTGCCTCTAGTGATGGCCAAACTAAGAGAGTTGAGAAATGGTCTGTCCTTAACGACGGGCGACCATCAAGAGAGTTCTTTCTTCTTTGCTATCTTGAAACTGTCTGTATTTCTAATGGAGAGGGGGTAAAATGTAAGTAGGAAGGGTTATTAACGGTTGGACTAAGGTGTTGATTGTAAAATTGTGATAAAAGAATAGTTAATAATACAGCGAAAAAATAACATGATTTTTAGCATGTGAGAAAATTGAACAAGCAGTATAATATGTTTACACATTTAACTAACCTTCAAAAGGCATTGCATTTCCCCAAACTCACAATATCAATAACTTACTATAAAACAAACCTTTATATCTACAACTTTGGCATTCATTGTTTAAATTTTATATGCACGTCTGCTGTAAATATAATGGTTTAAGAGGTTCTAAAAATCTAGTAACATGTCTTAGTATAATCTAGTAACATTTGTATGAATATGCTAGGACATTCAAACACATCATTATGTTTTATGACACGTGCTCACCGACATAATATTCGTGTTGAACGACCTCAAATCGCCTTCATAATATTCGTAATCACTGAACCCACAGAACCCAAAAACCATCATGTAGTAATATTGAACTCATTTCCGTCAATTTTTTCCAAATTATAAATTTATCTTTTTGTCATCACTTCAAAAACGCACATGCACTTTTAAAAATGTATTTTCTTTGTGAAATAATGTAATTTTCATTTCCACATCATTATTTTTATCACAAAATTTTTTGACACTCTTGCGAATCGAATGGAACACGTTTTATTGAGATAAATCTAACTGTAAAAATTTGGTAGATTTTTTGCATTTTAATGCTTTATTGCCTAGTCTATATTTTTCTAAACTTATATTGATTACCTACTTTGTTTTTTTGTTTTCGTTAAGTTCATTAGTAAGAAAATCCATACTTCTAACGACTTCATTATAAATAGATATTATACTTACAGACAACATTAAGCTTGAACGAGTCCTCTAAACCCACACCACTGAGCTTTGGATTTTCACCTACGCATTTGAAAATACTGTTATCGTCTTCAGGAACTGGTACGAAGGATATCGTAGTTATTACAGACGTTTCATTTTCTTGTGCGATGACCTGAAAAAAGCAAGAAATGAGAAATTGCATTTCACTGTTGTAACGGTGGTGCCATTAAGCGAACATGTAACTAGGAGAACACTAATATTTTCTTTGTGTTGTTTTGAAAAAGAATTCTTTGTACGTAGGTATTGATCAAGCTTATTTTAGATAAATGGCTCAAAGAAAATAATAAAAAGAAAAATATCCTTGAAGTTTTCACCTTTTTAAATGCATCTGTTTATTAAAGTTAATAATGTATGAGTTATACAATAAGACCGATCAAATGGAAGTGAATATGAGTAACATACTTAATAGTATATTACATAACGAGAGTTGTAAGAAGCTTATTACATGCGAGTAAAAAAGTTGCGCGCGAGCCGCGTAGCGGCGAGCGCAGTAATTTTACAAGCATGTAATAAGATTACAACTCAAGTTGTGTACTATACTTTTTCTACGGTTATTTTCATTTATAAAAATAAAAAGTATAACAAGTAACTTTTATTTATTTAATAAAATTCGGGGACAATTTAAATTAAACATTTATTTATAATAATTAATTGTAAAATTTTGGCAATTATTTATAACTATACCCTTATCCGAGTTTGGCGGTTGTTCAATAATACGTGGTAAATGGTGAGATGACGTAAACAGTACGGTGTGTTCTTTTAGAACATTGGTATTTTCAGTATATGTAAAGGTCTGTAAATTACTTTCAATTGAATTTATAATTCTATTGGCTGTTGACGTCTTATTATTTATTGACTCATCGACATATCCTTCGGCCGTTGTTGAAGATTTTCATCCGCCATGTCGTTTAAGAGCCATTAAATCACCACCAGCATCTACCAAAATAGTGGCAGAAGTTCGTCTTAAACAGTGACCTGTGTACATTTTGGGATCTGGTAACTTTAAATATTCGGCTATTTGTTTAGGAACCCCGCCTATTTTGTTTAATCCTACCTCTTTGATAATTAAGAAAAAATTGATTTATTTGCGGATCGCTAATCTGTAGTCGAATATCTATATATTGTTTGAAGATTTTATAGAAATTTCCAGAAATAACGAAAGATCTACATATTTTGGTTTTCGTATCAGGAATTTTAACCAATAACATGGTACTTAAATCATCAATGTCACAAATTTTAAGATTTTTTAGTTCTTGTTTCCTACAAGGTCCACATATTCCAATAATTGCAATAACCTTAAAATAAAAGTATTATAAGTAGGCACATTTATGTTATACTTTTAAATAACATACCTTTATTAACAAGTACTGTACATCAGGAGCTCCATTTAAAAAAAGGTTTATTTCATCAGGATGTAAAATTTTAGATTTTTTGTTTTTAAAACCTTCTTATTGTCTTTTTAGATAAGCTCGCAATTTCTGGTAATTTTCAATATTAACATTATTTTTCAAAGTTATAACACTTCTTAGCATATAATATATGACCCATAAGGAGGCTGGTTTAAATTTCTTAGCGATTTCTCCAAAATAAGCCAAGAGTACGTTTTCAGAAAATGAATTTACATTATTTGTTGTACGCCAATCCATAAATTGTTGATATACCTTTTCATATCTTCCTCTAGATTTTTCTGGTAATAGGTTCTCGTAAGTGTTCGCAGCTAACTGCATAATATTGGGTGGTGTGCTAAATTCATCTTCACTATTCGATGAACTCATTTTATTTATCTATACCACTATATTTGTATTTACAGATTATTAATTTTTAACCCGTCAAAACAACGCCTGTTAATTAATTTCCATGGTAACTCGACCAACTGACTTACAAGGCTTATGTGATATTACACATTTTTATAGAACTGAAGCGTAATTTTTTTTATTACTTGCTAGTCATTACGTGTCAGTATCTGTTATGATGCATTTACTTAGCATCCAAATAGTAGGTAATATACAATTTACTAGTAAGAGAGTAGAAAAAATTTATTAAGGTCGATGGAAAAGAGATAACAATAAAGATAAACATCCAAACAAAATGTAACGTATAACGAATGTAGACAATAAAAACCCGGCAAAAGAAAGTATGTAATAATAAAAACATAACCATGAGTAGGGGACCCTAGGGAGACTTGAGACAAGGAGGAATGAGACACTACATCTATTTCCTAAAATCGGGTAAACAGTGCCATCTGTTGGTTACTGGTTCATAACTTAAGTCAAGTAGTTTGCATGATACTAAGACTTCCAAGATAAACCCACTTCGCAATCGAATTTTGTACGTTGACGCGCATGACGTCACTTGGTGATAAAAGTTACACTTTTATCACCAATCTTTTATCATCACAGTCGGTAAAACATATATGGAAAGAGAGGGTTTTTATTTGAATATTTAGTGATGTTAGGTAAAATATCTTCAATCAAAACTTAAAAATATGTTATATATACATCTCTGTTAGCCTAGCAAGAATTTAAATATATAATAAAATTATATAAAGGAGTAGGAACTAAACATGCTTTTGAAAATGGAAATTTATATACAATGGATGGATTTATTAAAATAAAAATTTAATACTGTAATAATTCACAAGTTTATTTAGCAATTTATTTTACAATTTTTAATATTTTCTTCTTAACTTTGGATGTTTCTTTAATATATCTATTCAATTTTCTAATTTTAAAATATAATTTACACCTAAAAAAAGGTGTTTGACATCTGAACTTACGTTTACTAACATTATATCTGAACACAGCTAAATCCATTAGCGATTTTAAATAATTCTTGGTTAATTTTAATGACCCTTTGTTAAAATTGTTAAAAATATGGTTCAGTTCATTACATTTAATTAGAAAATCTGGATATGGTTTAAGTAAACCCCCTTCGGAAAGATGGTTTACCCAGTAAACCGATGTCAACATATAAGATAAACGATAAAACAATAGTAAATCTGACAAAACTCCATACAACACATAACATTTCTGGTGACATTTGTCGCCAAGTGACGTCACACGACTGATCGCGTGCGCGTGGGTTTATCTTTAGTTCATAGTATCATGAGTAGTTTGTAATTTGTAGCAAGGTTAAACGTGAAATGTCAAACGTGGAACTAAATAGAACGATAGAAAATGAGGCGGAAATAATATTAACTATCAGCAGATAAAAACTTGAGTACTTAAGGCATGTGATGAGAGGGCAAAAATACGCATTATTACAACTTATTACGCAAGGCAAAATCCGAGAAAAGCGAAACGTGGGAAGACGAAGAATATCCTGGCTTAAGAACTTAAGGGAATGGTTTGAATGCAGTAGTGCATAATTTTTTAGAGCGGCAGTCAACAGAGTCCGCATAGACATGATGATTTCCAACCTTTAAGGCTGTTTTATCGGTGCACCAAAACCTAGGGACTCTTATTTACCGACAAAATGTCTCAAAATTTGGACACAATATTCGAAATTATGTTGCTTTTAAAATGATGGTTTTACTTTTTTTAGTTTTTTAAAACTTTTGTTGAAAAATTGGATTATACTGTTTAACGTTCTATTATAATCAAACTTTTAACGCCCATCACTTGAAAGAATTTTTTTTCTGTAATGGTTGATTTTTTTTCACCTGTCTGTGTCCAGTAATAATCGAGAAAAGCGTGTTCCATTTTTGAAGAAAATTACTAAAAAATACTAAAACTGCCGCTTAGTTTCACCGTTATCGCCTTCGTAACGTCAAATCTCATGAATGTACGGTCATTTCGTTCGTGTTAAAACTAATTTGAATGGAGAGTAATGCATTTGTTGTCATTAAACTACCCGTCGGCTGCGCCACTGAGTAAAGACAGTCTCGCGTAAGCAGTGTAGAAAAGTAAGTGATACGACTATTTCAAATCGCAGTGTGCTTAAACTGCTAAAACAGCCCTCAGGTATGTTTTGAATTATTTGTTTAATTATCTGATAAATTAAAAGTTAAACAAAAATTTTAGGTTAGAATATTTGATAAAATGCTGTATAGATAGAAATTAGACGTGTCATGTCACCTCAAATAAAGTTTTATAGAAAGTGACTTAACTTTCTGTTTAAACCCTTTATTCACTCGATTACTAGTCTTTTTAAATAATTAATGCCCATTTGCACCAATTTCCGTTAAAATTTATCTAACAGTATTAGATACCATTTGATGATTAAAGTGTTTGTTAAGTAGTCGTTAATTTTTAACGGAAACTGGTGCAAATGGGCATAAATCTGCTAAAACGGTTTAAAATGATAACATTGTTTCAGATTTAATATTCCTCGGTTTTGGATTAAGAAGACAGAATGAGTAGTTCCTCCTCCTGACGTTATAAAAACCGCAGTGGAGCAAGTTCTTGGGGGAGCAAAATTACCCGCAACTGCAAGTAAATATGATTCGATAAGCAAACGCGTAACAGATATGTGCAAAAAAGAGAGTTACTTGCCTCTAACGAAAACAAAAACTTATTTACCTTATTTTAAAACTGCATTAGTCTTTGTTTATGAAAAAAATACTCTTGTATGGAATTATCTAATCCGTGCATCGCAAATGCACCATAGTTTAACAATATCATGGGTACGTCAACTTGCATTTAAATTTGCGAAGACCAACCATAAAAAATATAATAAAAGATGGGCTATTAAATCCACTGCTGGCTTTGACTGGTATCGCGGTTTAGACATCGCCACCCTCATTTATCACTAAGGACTCCAGAGTCAACCAGTTTGTTACGATGTACGACTTTTAACCGCATAAATGCTACTACGTTTTTCAATAATTTAGAGTCGGTACTAAACTGCAAAAAGTTTGAACCTCATTAGATCTGGAACATTGATGAGATAGGGCTTAAAACGGTACATAAATCACTCAAAGATCTGGCAGCGAGGAGTGTTAAACAAGTTGGAAACGTCATGTCTGTCTGCTGAATGAGGCACATTAGTAACTGCCATTTGTGGTATTAGTGATGGAGGAAGATTTATTCCACCATTTTCCTTCTTTCCAAGAGACAATTGGAAAAGGACTATATATTAAGTGATGATTTTCCAGGAAGAGCTGATGTTGCT